CACTGTTGCTTTCATTGCTTTCACAGCTCTTGCCAGTGCAACCACCACTTTCCTTGCTATCACTGCTGCTTCCTTTGCTTTCACAGTCCTTGCCAGTGCAACCACCACTTTCTTTACTCTCACTACTACTTCCTTTGCTACTACTATCACCTGGATTTGTGGTTGGTGAATTTGTATTAGGTGGTTCGGTATATGGTGTTCCAGTAGATGGCTGTTCAGAGGATGATACCTCAGTAGTTGGTGGTTCAGTAGATGGTGTTCCAGTAGATGGTTGTTCAGTGGATGATACCTCAGTAGTTGGTGGTTCAGTAGATGGTGTTCCAGTAGATGGCTGTTCAGTGGATGGTTCCTCAGTGGTTGGTGGTTCAGTGGATGGTGTTCCAGTAGTTGGTGGTTCAGTAGATGGTGTTCCAGTAGTTGGATGTTCGGTGGATGATACCCCAGTGGTCCGTGGTTCAGTAGATGGTGTTCCAGAAGTTGGCTGTTCAGTGGTTGGTGGTTCAGTGGATGGTGTTGCAGTAGTTGGTGGTTCAGTAGATGGTGTTCCAGTAGTTGGATGTTCGGTGGATGATACCCCAGTGGTCCGTGGTTCAGTAGATGGTGTTCCAGAAGTTGGCTGTTCAGTGGTTGGTGGTTCAGTGGATGGTGTTGCAGTAGTTGGTGGTTCAGTAAATGGTGTTCCAGTAGTTGGCTGTTTGGTGGATGATACCCCAGTGGTTGGTGGTTCAGTAGATGGTGTTCCAGTAGTTGGCTGTTCAGTTGATGGTGCCTCAGTGGTTGGTGGTTCAGTGGATGGTGTTCCAGTAGTTGGTGGTTCAGTGGATGGTGTTCCAGTAGTTAAATGTTCAGAATATGGTGCCTCGGTTGTTGGCAGTTTAGTAGAAAGTGTTCCAGTAGATGGTAGTTCAGAGGATTGTGGCTCAGTGGTTAGTGGTTCAGTAGATGGCTGTTCAGTAGATGCTTCCTCAGTAGTTGGTGACCCAGTAGATGGTGTTCCAGTAGTTGGCTGTTCAGTGGATGGTTCCTCAGCAGATGATGTTCTAGTAGGTGGCCTTTCAGTGGATCGTGCATCAGTAGTTGGTTGACCTGTTGGTGCTGCAGTTGTCTGTGTACCAAAATAAATCAGTTATTCTGCACTAAAATAAGTAGTAGCAGTCATATATAGCAGACACACACATTTAAGAAATCTCAAGTTTTTCAAAATGTAGATTGATTCAATTTCCCATAAGCTCTATTGTACAATAAGGTAGTTTTAACGAAAATATATTGACACATATAAAATGACAAATATACATTGACAATTCTGCTCATATTTGATCCTCAGTCCAAATTATCGTTTCCAAATTATCATATTTTTTTAAAATATGATTCACAATTGTCAATTGTTTGATAAATTATTTGAATGATTTTCAAATTAAAAGGTAAATTGTGTACTGATAGAGGTAAACAGGAAATTGTCTCTAATCTGACTAATATACATGTTGAAACAGAAAATGGTTAGTTTAACAGAATGCAGACGCAATGTAAGAGGTCAAAGTTTTAGATGAAAGATTGATTGATGCGCCAGAAGAAGCATAGTTTATCAAAAACAAAGTAGACAACAGATTCCCAAAAGTAGTACACACTTGTCGAGTCGTGGTAAATATATTTTTTCAATGGTAATATGATCACAACAGAAATAAGAATTGGGGAACATCTTCTAAATGCACTTGGTAATAGAAAGTGTAAAAGTAAGATGATTTCGAATGTAGATCAAATGTTTGCGATAAACCACTTATTATGAATGAGTGTAAAACTAACCATTGTAAACTTTAATGAATGTGAATAATAATATTTTAAATTGATCGAATGAAATGCCAAATTAATCTCAAGTTTGTAGATCACGATCAAAAGATGGGTTGTCTGAACTTATTCATATTTTGAGATTGTGACATTTTAGGGCAAGAGATGAAGAGAATGTAGGCGTGACTACAAGCACGTGCTAGTTGCAATACTCAAATAAAGTGCAATGATACAAGAGGACTTGTGGTTGTTCATACTATGTATAACACGACTAAGACTTGCAAAGAGTAATTCACAATTCACGGGAAAATAACATATGTACACACTATTTGTAAAATTGTTAAGACAGAATTAGCCATAAAGTAAAAGCCATAGTATAACAATATTTTTTATATAATGTACAGTTGCAAACAGACGTTAGAATATATTATATATCATATATTCTCCTATGGTACCTCCTGGTTCTCGCAAGGCTTCTCACACAGCACACGAATTTCATAGTTGTAGCACATGGGTGGCATCTGATCAGAATGATAACATCTTAAGCCTTCATCAACATCACAGGAAACCTGCTGACCAGTTACATCATGTGGAGGACCTGTCACATGTTCGTATGGAGATTTTACACGACACTCTATGTCAACTGGTGATTCACAGAAATCATATAAATCGTGCAAGTCACTATATAGCTCAAATTCTCCCTCAGCTAAAGGATCGACCTTCTTGTGTGGTTCATCATCCATCCATTCCGACCACTCAGTAGTTGGAATACAGGCTATAATAAAGTATGGGAATACAAGATATTAATACATACCATGCGACACATTTACAATTGGTATGAACCCATAGTAAAAAATTTACAAAAGTGGTAATAACATACCTATAACCATAAACAAAAAAATACAGGTCCAAGAACCCAAAACAAAAGACTGGTAACAATTGACAAAAAACAACTGTACAAAACACGCACTACATGATCAAATTAGCAAGAGAAATTTATATGGACTCCATGCTGTACATGAAGTAATATTTTCGTCTATGTCCTTAACTGTGAACCAATGCATAGCGAGAAACAGTTATTTAAGGAGATCATGCTCTATGGTAGACGAAAGCGCCCACCCATATTTCCACTAAAGTGGCAATTAACCACACGATGACCAATGATGATGTCATTGAAATACTGGTTTAGACAGAATCGCATTGGAAAAGTGACCCTACACAAGACTAAAGTAAAATGTGTCAAGCAGACACCATTTTGTTGAAATCAGTCACATGATAGGAACTATAGGAAAACATGAAACACAATGTACACTATTATGGGAGAGGCTTAAGCTCTCAAAATTCTGACGTTTTGACATATCATTTACAATGGTTGGCTCCCAGTAAGTTGACATCTTGTACCATAAACCCCAAGGTCCGCTTGACAAAACTGAATTTCAATAGATGACGGCCACTGGAGACATGGGCATAAACCTGTGGTCATCTTTGTTCACTTATTTTAATGTACACTTATAACATATATGCTACGTTTTCAGCGTGTGTCCACATTTCGGCAATAATGACACATGAAATAACACTGAACACAAATTCAAACACAATACTAACCTGTGGTAGTTGGTTCAGCTGTACTTGTTTGTATGATTGTAGTTTTTAATTCTGTAGTACTTGTGGGTTCAGTTTTAGGAGCTGCTGTGGTTGTTGGTTCAGCTGTTGGTGCTGCTGTGGTTGTTGGTTCAGCTGTTGATGCTGCTGTGGTTGTTGGTTCAGCTGTTGGTGCTGCTGTGGTTGTTGGTTCAGCTGTTGGTGCTGCTGTGGTTGTTGGTTCAGCTGTAGGTACTCCTGTGGTTGTTGGTTCAACTGTAGGTGATGCTGTGGTTGTTGGTTCAGCTGTAGTCGGTGCAGGTGTATCTCCACTGCCACTCTCTTCTGATTCACTTGGTGTTTCAGCTGTTGAGACAGTTGGTTCAGCTGTAAGTGCTGTTGTGGTGGTTGGTCCAGCTGTAGGTGCTGCTGTGGTTGTTGCTTCAGCTGTAGTTGGTGCAGATGGTTCTCCACTACCACTCTCTTCTGGCTCACTTGATGCTTCAGTTGGTAAAATAGTGGTTTCAGTTATAGGTGCTGTTGTGGTTGTAGGCTCAGCTGTAGGCACTGCTGTGGTTGTTGCTTCAGCTGTAGTTGGTGCAGATGTTTCTCCACTACCACTCTCTTCTGGCTCACTTGATGCTTCAGTTGTTGAAATGGTTGGTTCAGTGGTAGGTGCTGCTGTGGTCGTTGGTTCAGCTGTAGTTGGTGCAGGTGTTTCTCCACTACCACTCTCTTCTGACTCACTTGATGCTTCAGTTGGTAAAACAGTGGTTTCAGTTATAGGTGCTGCTGTGGTCGTTGGTTCAGCTGTAGTAGGTACAGGTGTCTCTCCACTACCACTCTCTTCTGGCTCACTTGATACTTCAGTTGTTGAAATGCTTGGTTCAGTGGTAGGTGCTGCTGTGGTTGTTGGTTCAGCTGTAGTTGGTGCAGGTGTTTCTCCACTACCACTCTCTTCTGACTCACTTGATGCTTCAGTTGGTAAAACAGTGGTTTCAGTTATAGGTGCTGCTGTGGTTGTTGGTTCAGCTGTAGTTGGGGCAAGTGTCTCTCCACTTCCACTCTCTTCTGATCACTTGATGCTGCAGTTGTTAAAATGGTTGGCTCAGCTGTAGGTGCTGGCGTGGTAGTTTGTTCAGCTGTAGTTGGTGCTGCTGTGGTTGTTGGTTCAACTGTAGTAGGTACAGGTGTCTCTCCACTACCACTCTCTTCTGACTCACTTGATGCTTCAGTTGTTAAAATAGTAGATGTAGGTGCTGCTGTTGTTGGCAGTTCGGAGGTAGTTGTTGGTTCAGGAGTAGTTGCGAGTTCAGGGGTAGTTGTTGGTTCAGGAGCAGTTGTGGGTTCAGGTGTAGTTATTATTACACCAGGCTCACATGGCAGACACTGGCATTCCACAATATCTTCATATTCATATAAATCCTCTCTGCCATCTTCACATGACAATGGCACATGTTTTGTTTGAAATTGGGTTCCTTGACAACATTCACATCTATTTTCTATTGCGTTGGTTTCATGAGAATACTTTGACACAGACCTACAGCCACCATGACATTCACTAAGTTTGATTGGATGTACTGACACACACCCATCTATTTCAAACATCTGTGGTTCCTTCTCTACCGCAACACATCTTCCTAATGATGAAGCAATAATAAATGACAGATTATGGAATGTTTCATGTCATCTGAACATTGTATGAAATACTATGAACACACTAACCTAGATTTACAATATACACTGTTAATGTGAGTTTATTAACTACAAGTTTATTGAAATGTGATGCATTTTTAAGCCATTTTCCGAAGCTGCGAATTCTGGTCATTACTTAAATCACTAGAGTAACCAGGTACCTTCAATGAATTGGTGAAATTACAACCATGTTTGCTAAGTCATATAGCGACAACGATTTAGGATCATAGTGTAACAAATCAGGATCTTCCTCGGGTTCCAAATCATGCACAGCTTTAGCAATTGCAAGAAGCTTATTCTTTTTATAGATGGATGATAAAACACCGAATTTACGGAGAAAGTCTTTGAGCTGTAGAACCGTCATTCTATTAAAGTCAGCCATGGTCAGAAACGTGAAACAGATGCAAGAAATCATTCGGGAGTTAACGCACAAGACAACACGATTTAGAACCATTTTCAATCAAAGCTTGACCTGTAACACATGACTAGCAACCGGTTACTGGGCAGTCTCTTGAGATCTCACACGGAGCGAGAAATGGGATATTACATATTGTGGAATTGATGTATAGGTAGGTACAAACTTATGCAACGAATATGGAATTTGAAATAAGAATCAAGGAAAATTGGGATAACCACATTATAACATAGCGTTTGTAATGGTTTGCCACACCATTACTTAATATTGGCATATTAGCTGTACTCACATAGTTGGTGGTTAATGAGCAATCGTTATCAACATGTTGTTTTCTCTCCATTTTATAATCCACATAAATGGTAATGGTAATTATGGATCATTTAGTGAAATAAGATCTTTTCAAATAAGTATCACTTAGACGTAAATAACACGGCTTGTTTTGCCCCTCATACCATGTTACATTCTCTTGCAAATATTTAACTGCCCTACTTACGTCTACATCTATAATGAGGACAACAAGAGCCTAAATCAACGAGTTCAAGCTCTTCATGCTCTGCATCACAATCTGGCAATGGATCGCATTCTGATGGACAAGCTGGAAAAAATATATATAATATTATTTTTGCTTTTGAAATTTTGCTGCCCATACCATATGAAACTTGTTTTGTGAAATTTTTCATAAAAATCGATACTTACAACATGTATAAATTGTTCGTGAACAACATCCACTGTCATCAGTATGTGAGTGAAGTTCAAGCCCAGGAGCACAAGTTGGTGGTGGTAAATCTTCTGGACACCCCATCTCAGCGATGCAACATGCTAGGCAATGACATAGTTTACATTAATATTATTTAAATATAACCAAATTTGTATGACAGGTTACTGATACGTTTAATTGATCCTTTAAACAATTAATTAAAATCATTACTCACGACAACAATTTCCATTTTTATCATAAGTGCCATGTGGACAGTAACACCCAGGTTGTATACTTCCATCACAGTTATTGTTGCACGTGTTATTACACGTGTTTCCACATTCCATGTATTCCAAACCATAGGGACACACAGCAGCTGTTAAACAATAACGCACCGTTTGAACAAAGACATATTCATTTTTCATTTACCAAGAGGGAAAGCATGTTGTACTGTGAGATTTGCAGGACATGTAAATCACGTGTGTGTGTAGGGGTCTAGTATAGGATGTGTAGATCTGTAATTCACAATACAAATATAGAAATGTATATTTTAATAACTATTTAGCACTATATATGCGCCAGCCAATGTGTGATGTACATGTGAAATTCGAACATGATCAGTCCAATTTCAGATGCATAACACATGGATGAATAAGCTGTTGTTTTCAGCTGTTGTTGTGGCATTTAGTTAGCTCGAAAAATAAATAATCTCGTGAGCCATGTCTATCCAATAAATGATGAATAATACTTACGACAAGCATGGTTTCTCCACTCCACACACTCAGATTGACAGTCTTTAGCAAAGCCTTCTAAAAATTCACAGTACTCATCTTCACATAGGTCAATGCATAAATCGTAATATTCCAATCTGCTTGTGTCCCCTTCGCATTCTTCAAATACATCAGATAGAATGTAGTCACAAAGTTCTTCACTGACTGGAATACACGAGGTTGTTGGCTCAGCTGTGGTTGGGCCTTCAGTAATTATTGTAGTTACTGGCCTAGAAGTTGTTGATTCCGCTGTGGTTGGCCTTGTTGTATATTCAACTGTTGTTTCTTCCCCACTACCACTCTCATCTGTGGGGCCTTCAGTAATTATTGTAGTTACTGGCCTGGACGTTGTTGGTTCCGCTGTGGTTGGCCTTGTTGTATATTCAATTGTTGTTTCTTCTCCACTACCACTCTCATCTGTGGGGCCTTCAGTAATTATTGTAGTTACTGGCCTAGAAGTTGTTGGTTCCGCTGTGGTTGGCCTTGTTGTATATTCAACTGTTGTTTCTTTCCCACTACCACTCTCATCTGTGGGGCCTTCAGTACTTATTGTAGTTACTGGCCTAGAAGTTGTTGGTTCCGCTGTGGTTGGCCTTGTTGTATATTCAACTGTTGTTTCTTCCCCACTACCACTCTCATCTGTGGGGCCTTCAGTAATTATTGTAGTTACTGGCCTAGAAGTTGTTGGTTCCGATGTGGTTGGCCTTGTTGTATATTCAACTGTTGTTTCTTCCCCACTACCACTCTCATCTGTAGGGCCTTCAGTACTTATTGTAGTTACGGGCCTAGAAGTTGTTGGTTCCGCTGTGGTTGGCCTTGTTGTATATTCAACTGTTGTTTCTTCCCCACTACCACTTCCACTCTCATCTGTTGGACCTTCTGTGGTTTTTGGTCGTAATGTTGTCTGTATGGTAGATGTTGGTTGAGATGTTGTTGTCGGCACTTAAGTGAAATGAAAGTATAGATGAGTTTCAATGTTGGAAAGTATTTTTTCATAAAAAAAAACATGAAAAGATTTGTTATTGGTAATTACTATTTTTATCTTAATTTAATGTGTGGTAATGGCCAACATTTATGAAGATTATTTACTGGACATATTTCAACATACTATTATAACCTTATACTGTCAGAAAAAATCGTTACCTGGACAGGGTAAGCACTCGTCGCCAGTTTTCACAAAATCATCATGGCAAAAACACCCAGGTGCCGGTAATAAATCACATTCTTTGTTTTCATTGCAGTTACTCAATGTAATGTTACAAGCAGGACCACATTCGGTGTAGTACATATCTTCTGGACACTCAAATGCTGACAATAGCAAATATATATCTCAATATTATTGATTATAACATGGAATCTAGAAATGGATCACATCAGCAAAAAGGAACAACAAACATGTGAACTTCAAGCCCATCATACAGTAACTATTCTTAGTCAATTGTTAGTCGATATTATGCAGTTCGCATGGGTGTGCTATTTTCTCTGAATTATATATTTCTTCATGTTTTGTTTTCCCAACAATATTTTCTAGATTCAAGTAAACTCGCTTGGCTGAGTTGACGATGAAGTCACACATCACAATGCAATGCAATGTGAGTAATGTACAATGAGTACTACTACTTACGGCATACATCTTCAGATCTCCACTCGATGCAAATCCCATTATATGAACACTCTCTAGCATAAGCAGAAATTCCGTCACAAGAACACCTATCTTTTCTATCTGCATCACACTGACAACAATCATACAAACAGTTTTCATAATAATGGCCCCAATCGATGATGTTATGGCAATCTTCAAAGAGGTTTGACATGATTGGTTCACACAACTGTTTGCATTCCTCTGAGGGTATATCACATGGACGAGAAGGCAGCGGAGGTGGGCAATCTGAATCATTTCTCACTGGCACAAACCAATCATGTACAAAGTCATCCACATCTTCCACGACGGTTCCATTACGAAGTTGGAAGTCGTCACTTTGATCACCATTACAAGGCCCTAAAAATAATCATTTAAAAGGGAGTTGGGACAACGATCTTTAAAGTGAAGTCACAAAGAAGCAGCTTACAATTATTGAAATGTAAACCGTATTCTAATTAGGCAAATACATACAAGCACTTATGCACAAAAGGAAACACATACACCACTCATATCTCATATATAGAAAAAATATGGGTGAATTTATTCTGAATAATCTCCAAAATAGAAATAACCCCCAAACTATTAGTTTTTAGAAGAAACCTACACAAAAGACACTAATTAGTAAAATGGAGTGAATGGGCTACTTTGCTAAAAAGTTTAAAGGATCTAAGTATATCCTCCATTACAGAAACAGTGGGTAGAGAGAATGATCATCCTGATACAGCAATCTCTATAAGCTCTACAAGGGCAGAGTGACGTGATGAATTAGTCCTTTAATGATGATTGCAATCACACTACATTTATTAAGCAATGACGTGATGTGTGTTTTGAAAATTTCCTTGCTACAGTCAACATTGCCTGTAAATACATCGGATACATGGGCAGTACACTGTGTCAAGTTGCGTGCTTGGAAAGACATTTTCCAAATAGGAATCCGCCTGCTCCTAGTGCACACTGCTATCATAGTCCTTCAACTAACAGTTATACATCTGCATGTTGCAGATCTGCAACAGTTATATATTTGTATAATCGTCCAAATAAGAACTGGTGTGAATTTGTGATTGCAACAATGTGGCCACCACTACCCATGATATGTTTGTATATACTATGGAAGCAGATGTCCCCCGTGACTGCAAATTGGAGTAAGACACCATAATGCATACATCACTAGATTGAAGTGTACAATTCACTAGCAGTCTGTGCAAACTGTATATCAAGCAATGCATCACTATCTATTTTAGAGTCAATAACCATAGTGGTATGATGAGTGCTAAGCTAACTACACTAAAACGGGATCAGAGAAATCCCGGCAATGTTGCTACATTACCCAAATGTCACAATTGCAGCAACAGCCATGTTGCTATGGAGATACAAAATTTTTGTGACTGCTATAATAACAGTTTCAAAAATAATCAGAAATAATCCACGTAATTCAATTTAGGCTAGCTTCCCCTAATAATATAGCACTGATATTATGAAACCTGAATGCCCTATGGAAAATAAATATCTCAACATTGGTGGGAGGGTGGTACCTGATTTAAAAATGCTTGAATCAATAATACTACTCACCACATATGCCCTCTGTCCTATCCCAATAGAGTTCAGACGGAACAAGTACACTATATGTATGGTAAACTCCTTCAAAACGTACGTCCAAACCTATATCGGGAATTCTAAGCACGGTCTGCATGCCAGCTAATTCGACAAATATGCTGTCATCAATATTGACCGGGAGTTCCACCATCTCTCCATCTACTTTTACCTAATTACAAATGAGTGTTCAATTCCACAAAGAAAGGCCAACAATTAGAAACATTATATAAAGATGTTTTACACAGTTAATTATAGATAAAACTGATATAAATACAAAGAATTATACAATGATTTATCTAATAAGAACTTTATTCCCAACTGCTTTTCTGTGAACTTGAGATGTAATTCAGGTTGCAGGGCGAGTGATCGCCTTTTGGTTCATCAGTTATATAACATCAGACAAATAAAACACTGGAAACGAAATAATTTATTTTATCCCTTATTGCCAAAGAAGGTTCAGATTTTCTTTCTTCTAAAAACGTGGGTCTCTGCTGTTGAGATATGGAGGACGTTATGAGACATAACACACTGACATTTCCTTGAAACTTGCATTTTATCTTTCAAATAAAAAAAAAACTGAGACATTGTTTCTGGCTTATAACAAACCCCAATGTGTTAATATTTGTAATTTATATGCAATAATAGGTATATTAGTACACAGATAAATATGAGACATTACCTTTCCCATCCTCATCAACACTACAGTGTGGCCACCATATATAACTATGATTTCTTTAGTACAAGAGGTTTCTGGCTGCCAAGTACATTCGACATTATCAATTAAAACCTGAAAGTCATATGGGGCATCCTGTGGCCTAGCAAGAACATAAGTACAGACACCTTGGTGGGAGAACCATTTGCCATCAAAACTCTGGTAGTGGGGATCGCCAAAACCATAGCATAGACCTTCAATGAAAACATGGATGTGGATCACGAAGTGGCAAGAATTAGTTATGAGCAAGTACAACTTCTCACCAAACATTATACATATATATAGAATATAAATTATCGATATTATATTTCATCAGATGGCACACTATTTCACCAGCTGCCCATCCTCTGTAACCAGACTAGGACTAGCTTGGTTAACAATTATGACATGCCATGGCAAAGTGTTGAGTATAGCAGTTCTATCTACATCAAATAACAATTATCATCTTAACCACTTGTCATTGACAATATGTACTTACATGGTGGTTTTTGTGGTTCAGTTGGCGTAGTTGGTACTGTGACTGTAGTAGTTATTGGTTTTGTTGTATCTGGTGGTGGTGGCTCTGTGGTTGTGTCTGGGATAGGTGTTGGTGGCGCTGTTGTTATGTGAGGAGTCGTAATTTCCCGGGTTGTTTCTGGCACCATGGTAGTTGTTGGTGGCAAAGTTGGTGGTACTGTTGGGCATTCATTGACGCACTCTTCCCCATTCCAGGCCTGACCATCGGGACAACGACAACCCTCAACACAGCTGTCCTGACAGTGACCATAGTGATGTTCGTAGTACCTCCCAACACATGTGTCCTTGCAGGGTGATATACATGGGTCATAGACCAAGCACCCGTCACACATTATTGCTATAAAATAATAATAATTATAATAACTTTATTCACTATACTTATAAGATACAATATGCAGTGTTCTTAACGTGTGCTATACTGAAACCCCCGGGGGTATTCACATTGAAGTGATATATGTACATGTGCCGCCAAAATGGGTTCCAAATTCACCACTTCTGTCTGAAAAGGGGTATGTTATTTTACCCTGTCTGAAAAGGGGTATCCATATTTTCCAAAGACTGTCTCTAGAGCTTGAGTGATCCAACAATCAGGAGAATTCAAGCCCACCTGCTTTTCCCTTGATACCATTTATGCTCACTGTCTGAAAAGGGATGTCAAATATCCACAGTTTGCCTGAAATAGGGTATGTAATTTGAGTTTGTTTCTGTTCACACAGGCACACACCCCTGTCAGTATTTTTCGCAAGTCCCCCCGGGACTGGAATCAATTGTCTTCATGACCACGCACGTGTTGTAAACACATATCTGCTATGTTATCTGAGTATGGTAACCTGATGAGAAGTAGGGTTATTATTCTTCCATGGCACATTGTTAGAGTAGGTATAGAATTATAAGCAAACAACTGCGTCTATACATATATACTTACGACAAAGTTCCTGTGATCTCCATTTGATATGGATACCATGGCGACTACATTCATTTGCATACGCTGCTATAGCAGTACACATACATTCACAGTCACCTCCCATATCACATCCACATGCGTCGTATTTACATCTTCTGAGAAATGGTCGAAATGGTACCACACAATGACACGGCTTAAATAGATCTGATTTGATAACACTGCAACCCTTCATGGCCCAAGTCTTGCGTTCAGGAGATAATGCACATGTATCTTCAATATCAGGTGCGTCTGGGCAGCACTCATGAAGCTGGTGAAAGAGATAGTGTCACTAAGTAATATACCTGGTTCTTTATAGGCGTAAAGTGATTGGTCTCATCGTGGCGTATAAACACAATGAATCATATAAGACAAAACCCACACCGTGAATCAGATCGCCCCCTTTCAGCGAGAATTACATGCGAACACTTAAAACTAATATATATACATACCTTCCAACTGTTACCAAATTCAATGGGAGATTCTAAGGGAAACCCTCCACCAGGAGCTGTGAAATCATCTTTCTGTTTACCATTGAAATTACCGCACAGCCCCTCAACCTAAAACATATTGAAAATAGCAAAAGTCAAATGTGCGTACTGTCAACAACAATGTAGCGTGTAGTATCAAAGATTGTTTAGGTCTCTAATTACGTAATTTTCAATACACATTATCACCATACTTTTGAATGATGTCTGCCATCTATAATAATGTACACCCTAGTTCCTCGATCCCATTTCACAACAAGGCCAATGTTAGTGTAGACAAATGTGAATATTGTCATTTCGACTATCTCGACTGGTGGGCCATTCTGTGACATCACTTGTGGGTCTTTGCCTCTGATTAATTTGACTGTAGTTCGTTCATGTATTGTACCTATGTTATAAGGGAAATAATTGAAATTAAGTTTGTAAAGAGTGTTTAATATCAGACAAATTCATTACACCACACCATACCATACCATACAGTGTTATTGTACCAGCGCCTAATACATTAGAATATCACATTTACTGCCGAAATTATCATGTGTACGAGCAATGTTTTATATCTAAAACCTATTTTCACAAATTCACCTTACAGCTATTCTACTATGGCCGTTCGCACTGCCCGGAAACGGCGACGCTTTAACATTTTTTTGAAATAAAATAGTATCCCATTTACATCAAAGCTAAGAAATAACTCACCAATTCGGATGATGATATCCTTAGTACAGGTCACTCCACTTGTACCACACTTGATATTCTTCGCTGATATACGATATTTCTCAGAATTATCAGAAGTTGTCTGTGAAAGTATGTAGTCACATTCTCCCTGAAAGTCGTAGCTCACACCGTCAAATGTGTTATAGTGAGGATCACCGTACACATAACACACGCCTAATACATTCAGATAGAAAAATACTTATTAGATTACTGATAACTGGTAACTAGAATAACGATAATGAGTGTGTCACAGAAGTTATGTTAACTTACCGCTACATTCCATTTCTTCACAAGACCACGTTCCACTTTGACAAACACTTGAATACAAGAATACATATGTGATTATTTTATATGCAATATTACACAATTATCTTTTTTCTACGCAATATCTACCCACTTGGTAATATTGTATTGCTGGTCATAAGTTATGATGAATAAGTTACATATTCATGTCAGCAGCCGTCCTGGTAATTGTTTATAGTCAGGAAGAATTACTGGTTTTACTATACCATGTTTTCTCTAATGTAAGGAAGAGTTCAGACTAAACTGAAAATGGTGAATGATCACTAGCGTCACCACTTCCTATGAAGGGCTGTGCTTCAAACTTCCAAGAAATTGAATACAAGTTTCACTAAATGAAATAATTGCACTTGTAATTATATAATAAAATGGTCACTTTCGAAAGCCATAACACAAAAAAGATAGTAACACTTGCATCTTATAATAACTAACTCTAACAAAATAGTTACCATCGTTGACAGTCACTCTCCAGGACAGCACCATTACGGTATGTGTCACCTCCATGATGACAGGGACACCTCGATGGTCGCACGCACTTCTCACCGTCATGTACAAATCCATTAGCACATTCACAACCTGCTTCACATAGTGCCGAGCTGCAACCTTCATTAATTTGCATATTTTCACAAGTCGCGGGGCACACAGACTTACAGTCAGTGTATACTTCATGGTTGCCACATTCTACCGCAGGACATTCGATATCAACACATTCCCATGCAGCGTTGATGCATGTGCTATGGATGAAGAAAAAAATCCAGTTATAATTTGTCATATGTCGATAAAAATAATCGGGCCATTACTTAATATTGCTGTCTCAATCTCTCGGTTTATTATGCATACAACTCAACTCACCATGATCCACATCCATGTGGAATTTCTCGTCCTGCTTCGAACATTTCTCCATTACGTTCACATGGCAAATCTGCTAAGTACACACACTCGCCATCTTTCTCAACAAACATCTCTGGACATCTACACCCAGGAACACATGACTGATCATTGCATTCTATTCCTTCTCTCAATGTATCTGCCGTCACCTGACACGCTGAACCGCATTCTGTATATATCATGCCCGATGAGCATTCGACGCCTAAGAAGAATCAGACGAAAAGTAACTACCAATAAATAGCCTGTTATGTACTTGATTGGGTTAGTTAGACTTATTTATCCTTATTCTCTGTTATGGGGCAGCAATATGAGGTTTTAAATAAAAAATATCTGTGTATTGTATTGAGGCTAATTCATACTCCATCTCAACATATTTCCGAGGCACAACTTATCAATTATTTTAGCTTTACGATACGTCTATGAGGTACATATATTAAAACCTAACAACCAGGGCCAGTTTAACGATACGTCAGTACGTGTTTACACAATAATCCCCAAAATAAATAAACAATTCATTACTCTTTGATTGTTCAAGATCACGGAGGCAAATTTCGTGACAATAAAACTGTTATTGGTATTGGTTTATGTAATAACAAGAATTATCTTCCTGTAAGTGACTGTTATTGACTAAATTCGTACTTTGGGACAATAATTCTGATTATCATCCTCGGGTGAGCTTAACTGTATAACATATCGTTGTATGAAACTTTGATAGTTATTGTCATGATTACGAACCATTGCCTTGAAAATCGACCAACATGCTCAGACGCCGATTATAATTGAGTCCACTCAGTGGTAGATGTTTTCATCAAGAGTATTGAATGTATTCCGAGGAAGGTTAACATTATTGTCAAATCGGACGAACAAATTATTATTAATATTATGCAGACGGTGAAAATTTCAGTCATTGTGATGGAATGGGCATATACGATGGAACGATATATAAAATCTAGTTTGCTTCAAATGTCGATTTTGACGTTTGAATATTATCTCAAATTCATAAATTGACAACCATTAAGGACATGAAACATTTGAAATCAAATAAATACATATTTTTCGGGTCAATGATTACATGAGCAGCCTTAACACTAATAACAAAACTTACCACATGTTAATATCTCCTGTCGCCAACCAATCAGTGGGACTCCTTTTTCTGCGCAGTCATGGGCATAGTCAGCAAAAATGACGCAATGACAATCGGTCTGTTGGCAGCTACATACATCAAATTTGCAGTTTTCGTAGTAATATTGAGGGTTCACAAACGTATGGCAATCTGGGTAATAATGTAATAAGTTATATGCATTATACTATAACAATAATCCAAGTACTCGAACTTATAATTGTATTTATTATTGAGATTTAACGAGTTTTCAGTACTGTACTTATATTGTATTATATTGAATTGTAAAAGTTCCAAGTACAATTACAAAAAAAAAAAAACAAATATCAGGAAGAATTTGAATTTCTTACTAATTTCCCACATCATGTGATTTATACTTACGTGTAAACATTGGATCGTTCAACAACTTCATACACGTTTCCTCAGCAGTGCTTGCATGCTGTGAAAATATTTCACATGGATGTGGTACTTCATCTACCGGTGCATCTCTGCATCCTGGGTTAGTTTTATACTTATTAGCGAAAGCTATAGAACTGGTTTCAATATCACCTATAAATAACACGTTGTATACATAATTTTTAATTCATTTGTAAATAAAATTGTGTGTTAAAACCAATGAAAGGTTTAGTTGAAAGGCGTAACTTAACGCAACAAATTACAAACTGAAAATAACTTGCTCATTAAAAGCACGGTGAACAAAGCTAAAACAACACTTAATGAGCAAGGGACCTCCCTTTTATTCAGTAGGTGACCCCAATGATGAAAGGGCAGAGTGTGGTCGTCCGATTTCAACAGGGGTGGATCAAATCTTGTGCACGGACAATGGACTGGGAATACAAATTGAAATCGTACGTGCTTTATTAGAGCTAACATTCTCTTGCGCATATAATTCGTATTATGCAAATTACAGGTTTTGAATAAATTTACGATATGCATTGACGAAATATGTAAAATCAGTTGTTATATATAACGAATAAATAGTATGTTTGTTTAAAAGATCGCGCATTTCAAAAAGTAAGGTCTATTTCCCTTGCTGTTTGTGCCACACATTTTAAAAATCAAAATGTTATACTAGACATAATATTTCACCGAAACCTCAATTTATGTGTTTTTATCCCCAAAATGATAGTGATATAGGGCAGATGGTTGTATGACATCAACACAATATTTACTAGAAGATTCTATCGTTCTATACAATAAATGTAAATACTTTTTAAAACATACCTTGCATGGTAAGGAAGTCATCTTGTTGGTTGTTGTTGTATGTGCCGCACAGACCGCATGTTTTTCCAAAATGTTCCGGAGTTACCGTGATGTATACACGATTTTTGCCATCCCACAATACTTTAATTCCATTCGCCAAATTCACCTGTAAAGAGATTAAAGTTGCTATAGGCCGCCGCACTGTGACGTCATTTGTTTATATATTTGCCAACCAGCATGCGCCGAATGTCGCTCATTGACATTGTCACTAGCTCGTTATTTTTTTGTAACACGGTTGCTAATTATTTTTTTATTAACTGGGAAGCATACATGTATATGAATAACACCGTTATTTTATCTTGGTTTGCAAACCAGTCACTGTGCACACGCATGCGCACAAAACGTAAACAAGTGCGAATGTCTATAAGAAGAGTAAAGACATATTCCACGTTACATGTTTATGATTGTAAATAATTATACCTTTATCATCATAGATGTTACTCTCTCAATGTACACATCCCCGTATCGGAATGGGAACTTTTCTATGTCATCACCATCGACATTAACAGCATTGCCGCGCTTCAAGAACACAAGAGTATTGCGAACTTCGATGATAACCGCCCGGGTACACGTAACCCCTTCCGCTGCTCCGCATTCCACGTTTTTACCCATAATATGATAATCGCTGCTTTCATCAAAGCAATTCTTAACTAAAGTGTAGGTGCAATCGCCCATGAAGTCGAAACGAGTTCCATCGAACGTTCTATAATGCGGATCGCCCGTTGCAGAACAGGTAGCTGCAAGGTATTAGGATAAGTTATAAAATGTTAGAATAATAATATATTCATAAATGAAGGCGTATGAATGCCTACTTGTTTCCAAGAATACTGTTGCTGGGAGGCAGAATTACAGAGTCAATGCGAAATTACTTAACCTCGTTGGCAGTTTTTCGACGTATCAAATATTGCCTTCTATATATGTTTCGACTCAATTATATAGTTTTTTAGAATTATCAAAGAACCGTACAAAGACCAACTTACCGTCACATATTTCATCTGTGCAATGACTCCAGCGTCCATCAACACATTCACTATTGTTAAAATAATCAAACATAACGTAAACATACTTTATAATATATAGAACGTCGCACACTCTCGGTCACATGATAATGTTATTCATGTTGCCTGGTGAACTTGCTTAGCGTTCTCTCAAAGCTAAATTATATTTGACAGCTGAATGCGCTAAGACTGGGAGACTATGTAAAGATAACCACATAATATATTCTTCACAAACCAGTGAATTTTCAACACAGTAAATATCAATCAGAAAATCAAATCCGTTAGAATCAAACCTCAGTGAAGATTTCTCCCTTTCTACTAGTGCCCATTTTATTCTCTGAAATAAGTGTGCTTGTGGACACCCTGCTCGACTAATATTATTGTGTACTCCTCTTTTATTCCCTGAGCATAAACTATTACGAATTCATTCTAATTCAGAAAGGAACCCCCAATTGTACATATAATGGTATATTCCTCTCTTACGTGATGTCTCGCTTGTCACTTCAAAAGGATGCATTAACGGTACAATGAAACGGCACGGTGCTAGAAATTTTTAAATGTGGTCAGCGTAAACTTGATTGGTTGACAATGACGTCAAATTAATTATTGTCACCATCTGAAGACCACATATATCAATTAGACTGGCCTATGTGCACATTTTAAATTTACTTGTGTGTAATTGTGAGTAAAATACTTGGATACCATAGACTAAATTCTATGTCCAATTTCATTGTCAACCTACCATTCATTACAGTCCTGCTGTAACATTGCCCCGGGTGGATATTCTATACCATTGAAATAACAAGGACAGCTATCCCCTGTTATACATTCACCATTATGTAGATATTTACCATCGGGACAGTGACAGCCATCTAAACATTCTTCTACATCACATTCGCCATCGCCACGAGACTGACATGTCTGGGGACAAGCCGCCCCGCAGTAGGAGAATATCATACCACTAGAACATCGGGCAGCTGCAAAAACGTTGAAAGTTGGAACAATACTATATGTGCTACAATTTGACTGATTTGACTGATTATTTTAATATCAATAATAAATAAAAAAAATAGTTGTTCTACTTACGACATAAATCGTCGTTTCTCCAGTCTATAACCACTCCAAGACGTGCACACTCGCGTGCATATGCTGCAAGTGCTGTACACAAACATGATGATCCTCCTATTCGTGGAATAATATGAGCACCTCGTTTTTCAACGTCTTCAGCATCAACAGCACCACAAGAGCACATATCTTCCATGCAGGTTGTAATATATGGTTTATGTGCAACAACCTGAAACGACCAACAAATTAATGTGAATTTAAAATTTATTCTAAAGGCTTCATGTTTGAATTTTGCTATATGTGTAAAATGATGGGTTAATACTGCCCAGGAGACTATATCTCTCAATTAGTCCTATCAGATGCCA